GCCCCTGGCAGAGACGGGCAGGCCACGGCAAAGTGCACATGGCTTCAGATTCAGAGCTAGATGGGGACGCTGAGGAAGATTATTCTCATGATAGCGATAGTGAATCCTAGTTCGTATTCTTTGTATGGTTATCTGTAGAAATAGAGTGTAGTCTGTGTGTAGAGTAGACTGCATGCTTACATAAATGTCTGATTTCGTAAAAATCAGTCTGAGCGGACATACTAACTTAGAAAATCCGTCTAAGGCAAAGACCATCAGGAATCCTCCATATGAGGGCCAGACGATTTTTTTTTTTTGGAAAACGTCAGACGGGCCTAAAAGTTAGCAAGAGCCCTGGTGCTGAGCCTGGGGGTGCTACGTCTGGAGGTGCTGAGCCTGGGGGTGCCACGTCTGGAGGTGCTGAGCCTGGGGGTGAGGAGCCTGCGCGAGCTGGGCCTGCTCGTGTGGCGTCTGGCGGTGCTGGGCCAGGAGGTTCTCCGGGTGCTTCGTCTCGGCGGGAGCCACTCTCTCCACAGGAGCTGGCGGGTGGTTTGCCCGGCGCTGGAGGCGTGCTGCTGGAGCTGGAGTTTCTTCGGCTGGTGAGTGTGCTAGTGCCGCAGGTCCCGGAGGTGCTCGTACTGCGAGTACTGGAGCTGCTGGGCCTGCGGGTACGACTGGAGCTGGAGCTGCTGAGGGTGTTGGCGCTAAGGCTACTGCTATCGGTCCTGGAGGCGGTCCTACTGGGGGTGCTACTTGTGCTGTTGGAGGTACTGGAGCTGGAGGTGCTGTTGGCGCTCGTGCTTCCGCTGGGGGTGCTGGTGCTGTCCCTGCTGTGTCTGGAGTCGCCGCGCGGCCTCGGCCGTACTTCTTTCCGCTCCTTCAGCAGGTTCTTGGTCTCCCGCCTTCTACTGGTCCTCCTCCTCCCTTAGAGAATCCACAGCCTGTCCTGTCCCGGTTACAGTTACAGCCGACCTCCCCACTGTCTGCTCCTTCTCCCTACACTGGTCCTATTGGAGGTCTTGCTGAGCGTCGTGAGCCTGCGTCTCGCCCTGCGTCGCCTGTCCGTGCTGCTCGCACTAGTGGTCGCGTTTCGCGTCAGCGTCTTCCTCCTGTCCCTGGCACGCACCGGATGTCTCTGCGTCCGTCCACTGCTGCTCTGCGTGCCCCTTTGCCTTCTCCTTCTGAGTCCTCTCTTCCTGCTCTTGCCGACCCGGAGTCGGACTCTCTTCGTGCTGCCAGTCCTACTATCAGGCGTCTGCTTGCTACTGTCGTCACTGACCCTTTTTTTGAGTCCACTGCTGCATCTGCCCTAGTTGTTGAGCTCGTCGACTTCGCTGCTCGCTGTCGTCTAGACTACGCTGCTAGTCTTGTTGCTGAGTCTGCATCTGTCTGTCCTCCGTCCATCGGGGGTGAGTGTGCCCTTGGCACGGACGTCCTTGAGGACAGGCAGGAGGAGTTCCAGTGTCTGGCCGCTGCTTCACCTCATCTCGTGTCCGTACTGCTTACCCCTGAGGGAGACCCGGATGCACTAGACATCCCGACTCCGCGCTCTTACGCGGAGGCCGTAGAGGGTCCCTACTCCTCTCAGTGGCAGGCAGCTATGGATGCAAAGACGGCTTCCTGGAAGTCCACAGGCACCTACATTGACGAGGTTCCCCCGCCTGGGGCGAACATCGTTTGTGGCATGTGGATTTTCAGCGTGGAGCGGCCGCCGGGTTCTCCGCCTGTCTTCAAGGCGCGGTACGTGGCTCGTGGCTTCAGTTAGCGGCAGGGAGTTGACTACTTTCAGACCTTTTCTCCCACCCCGAAGATGACCACTCTTCGGGTGCTACTGCACATAGCCGCTCAGCGCGACTACGAGCTTCACTCTCTTGACTTCAGCACTACTTTCTTGCAGGGTAGCCTGCACGAGGAGATCTGGCTGCGTCGCCCACTTGGCTTCACTGGGACTTTTCCTCCTGGCACCCAGTGGAGCCTTCGGCGGCCAGTCTACGGTCTCCGCCAGGCACCGCGTGAGTGGCACGACACACTGAGGACTACGCTTGCGGCTCTTGGGTTTGCTCCCTCTACTGCCGACCCGTCGCTGTTTCTGCGCACCGACACCTCTTTGCCGCCGTTCTACATCCTCGTGTACGTCGACGACTTGGTCTTTGCCACAGCAAACACTACTGGACTCGCCCACGTGAAGTCCGAACTTCAGAAGAGACACACGTGCACAGACCTGGGTGAACTGCGCAGCTACCTTGGCTTGCAAATCACCCTGGACAGAGCACGCCCCACCATTACCCTGACTCAGTCACACATGGTGCAGCAGGTCCTTCAGCGCTTTTGCTTCACGTACTCCTCGCCTCAGGCCACTCCTCTGCCTACTCGCCACTCGCTCTCAGCTCTACCTTCGGATGAGTCCGTAGAGTCGAGTGGCCCATACCCAGAGCTTGTTGGCTGCCTCATGTACCTGATGACCTGCACACGACCTGACCTTGCATACCCTCTTAGCATCTTGGCACGCTATGTTGCTCCTGGGAGACACAGACCAGAGCACATGGCTGCAGCAAAGAGGATGTTGCGCTACTTGTGTAGTACGTCGGGCATGGGGCTTGTACTTGGAGGGCAGAGTCCAGTGGTCCTCACAGGGCACACAGACGCTTCTTGGGCTGACGACCAGGCTACGCAGCGGTCGTCACAGGGTTACACCTTCAGCCTCGGTTCCGGCTCTGTTTCGTGGCAGGCTACCCGCTCGTCTTCTGTTCTTGGCTCCAGTTGTGAGGCTGAGATCTACGCCGGGGCCATGGCTGCACAGGAGCTTCGCTGGCTCACCTACCTGCTGACTGACCTAGGAGAGCCGCCTCGTTCTCCTCCAGTGCTGTACGTAGACAACAAGGCCATGCTGGCCTTGTGTCGAGAGCAGGGACTGGAGCACAGAACGAAGCACATTGCTCTTCGCTACTTCCTTGCTCGTGAGCTACAGCAGCGTGGTCAGCTACGTGGCCTCTGAGGCCAACACTGCTGATATCTTCACCAAGGCACTTGCGCCTTGTGATTATCAGCGCTTCTGTACTCAGCTGGGTCTTGTGCCTGCCTTGCCTCACTTGCTCACTATCAGTAGATCTGCACTGTGGATGCCGGATTGATCCTGGAGAGGGTTACAGGCGCGTTCGTCAGGGGGGGGTTATGGGCGCACTGACCCGCTATTGAAACAAGCCCTTTTATCCCAATGGTCTAGTGGTTGGGATTCTGACATGGTATCAGAGCGATCTCGGGTTCGAATCCCGGTGTATGCACATGTAGGCCAGTGCCGCTGTGCTTAGTCCTGGGCCTCCCAGTGTAGGGGGGTGTCGGTAGATCTGCACTGTGGATGCCCGATGGATCCTGGAGAGGGTTACAGGCGCGTTCGTCTGGGGGGGTTATGGGCGCACTGACCCGCCATTAAAACAAGCCCTTTTATCCCAATGGTCTAGTGGTTGGGATTCTGACACCCACCTCTTGACCTTGCTTGTACTGTTACATATATATATATATATATATATATACGCCTGCTCTTGCTTGTCTAGCCTTTTATATATATGTGTACTTTTGCATGTGAATTGGCCTTGTGGTCTTGACCTTGTGCTCGGAATGTGTGGTGACGTTGTGATCCACCCTGAGCTTGCTTTGCTTGACTGGTCTTGTGACCTCTTTTTCTCCCCCACTTTGCCTCTGGGGATGTGTCAGATTTATATGACATAGCTATTGTAGGCTTTAGTGGGGTAGCACATATGGGGTACAGCTTTCTAGGGGTTTGTATTTGTACCCAACTTTCACATAGTCATTTCATTCATCGTTCTAGTTTTCTCACATGTTTCCTCCCATGCCAGGCATCGGCTGGGTAGTGCCATGACTGGCTGCGCCTGAGCGCTGTCGGAGCGTGTGGTGGCGCTGGAGTGTTCGCCGTTGACTGCTGGCGCGCGGAGTCACGTTCCGCCGTGAGCGCCGCAATTTCGAGTGCCGATTCTTCAACTTGGCGCACCAGACGGTCGAGCTGCTCCTGCGTCAAGGTCGCGAGATTGAATTCGGCCATGGTTGGGGTGTCGGCCGAGCTCAGCGAGAGCCTCGGTCGTGGCCGTGCATGCTTATGAGAGAGCTACGAGCGGCGGTGCTGTGGCGCTGAGAGACGTCTACCCCCCCCAAAAAATTGAGATAGTGGGGAAGCGAAGGTATGGGTGCGGTCCGAGAAGAGATCGTAGGCTCTGAATACAAAGTGTTACGGGTGCAATTGAGTGAACGAGCGAGAATTGCACTATCAAAGCAAAAAGTACAATGAGCGAAGGTATGAGCGAAGAATATATTGTGAAGCTACAATTGTAACGGTAATGCGTAGAATTTGGGGTGCGCGACGGGCCTGGCTCCGAGGTTGGGAAGTGTCGAGGCGGAGGTCCGGAGCGCGGGTTACCAACCGAACCGTGAAGTTGGATCGCGCCGTGAACAGTGGCGGGAACAGTGTCGAAGCGAGTGTCGCGAGTGGTAACGGATTACTGTTGGGTGCTGTTGGCGGGAACAGTGGTGTACGCGCTGAGCAGGGACGCGAAATAAGGAAAAGGAATTTTTCCTTACATCTTAACATGCTGCACACAACACTTCAGCGTCAGGACCCAATAACGTGTACAGTTGCTGGTATCGGATCTCGCTCAAGCTCCAGGAGCAGCCATGGCCTGTGGCCAGAAATTGTCAGCCACAACAGCGCATTTCAGGGCTCGCAAGCAGGTTTCATTAGCATTCTGGAATTTATATTCCACCCCCTTCTAGCGAAGCCTTAGACGTAAGGAGGACGACGAGGCGAGTATACGAGCATCTGTTGCACGACAGTACGTGCATGTGAGCGGTTCTTGTTTGATATGCTCCGAACCTCGCTGACTTACTTGTCACACAATCCTGGGCAGAATTGACGAGTTTCGAGACGTCTCTAAGCAGTTGCCGTTCAATCCTGACGCTGTTGTCGCGCGGGAACAGTTCCGGTACCTTTTCGCAGCCCATTTGTCACTACGATGGACGAATCTCGTGAGAGGTCGCCGTTGAATTTGCCGGATCTCGAATCCAATCAGCTCCCAACCACCGCCACGTCATCATCGGCAAGAATCCTGTCTACTGGTGCCGCCGCTGTCGGTACTGCCACGTCAGACGTCTCCTCCCCCTCTGCAGCCACGTCATCCTCTCCGTCATGCTCGGAGCCTGCCACGTTGTTGCAGTACGAACAGCAGCTGCTGACGTGGCTGCAACGGTTTTCGGACGAGCTCGCGAATCGCATCACCACGATCGACGGAAGGATCGACGGGTTGCTGAGCGACGCGACTCGGGTGGACTCAAAGCTTCGTGTGGCCGAGGCGAAGCTGCAGTGCGCTCCCGTGATTCGCGGCGCCGTTCACGTGAGTTTCAGCTTGAATCGTGATAAGCAACTCTTTTCTATCATGTTTTCAGACGTCTCAATACTTTCGTCGTCCCCCTGCCTCTGTCAAGCAGACCATCTCAAACCCAGGGCAGTCGCGCGCGACTCAAACGCAAGGCGAGCTTAGCGGGAGGGCGGCTTTTTGAGTCTACTCAGAGATCAACGGTCGTACGTCACTAATTAACGGTCACCGTACATTTTGCCTTCCCCCTGCCCCTGTCAAGCAGACCATCTCAAGCCCAGGGCAGTCGCGCGCGAGTCACACGCAAGGCGAGCTTAGCGGGAGGGCGGGGATGTCTACAGCTGGGATATCAATTGCTCAGAAGAAGCAGAACGAGAATCAGAAAGAGAAGCAAAAGGAGGAGCAGAAAGAGAAGCAGAAGGAGAAGCAAAAGGAGGAGCAGAAAGAGAAGCAGAAGGAGAAGCAAAAGGATAGACAGAAGGGAGGGAAGAGAGGAGGGGGTTTAAGCTTCGAGGAGCGTGTTCAGGTGAATTATCAGGTGGCCCTGCAGCTAGGGTTTCAGGCTCTGGAAGGGATACGAGAGGAGGGGGAGAGGGAGGAGCAGAGAAAGCAGCTTGGTAGGGGACGGGCGGCTGGTGGCTCTTCAGCTTCTGCTGCTGCAGTTGCAGCAAGAGGTGTGACAGCAGGAGAGGCAGCAGGAGCAGCAGCAGGAGTAGCAGCGGGAGTGGCGGCAGCGGGAATAGCAGCGGCAGCAGGGGCAGGAGATGGCTTTAGCGCTCGACAACAGCAGCAGCTGGGGCAGCAGCAAGAGGCGGGGCAGGAACAGCAGCAGCAGCAGGAGGGGCAGGTGACTGTAGTTCCAGAGGACACGTGGAGTGACAGTGACGAGGGTGATGATCACGAAAGCATTGACAGTGACAGAAGCGGTGGCAGCAGTGACAGTATCGAGGGGGACACTGGCAGCATGGAGTCTGGATTCGCGAGCAGTGAAGGGGGGAGGGCGGCTGGCTCTCAAGCCAGCTCTCTCAGAAAGGCCCGAGGGATGGACACTTGTCGTGGGTTTTATCAGGCAGCAGATGCGAGTCAGAGCTATTACAGCCCACAGCTGACATCTGCAGCTGCTGCAGCTGCTGCTGCTGCTGCTGGGGCTGCTGCTGCTGGTGGTGGGGCTGCTTTTGGTGGGGCGGCTGTGGGTGCTGCGTCTCCTCTCTTTCCGCCCTACAGCAGTCAAGCAGCAGTGGTTTCTCCCTTCCCTGACCGGCCAGACTCTCTCGCTGCCCTCGCCTCGCTCTACGATTTCACCACAGCCATCCCCACCCCCTCCTCGCCCCCTCCCTACTCTGAGCCTGGGGATTTACCTGCTGGGCTTGCCAGGCAGCATCCCGCACCTGCTGAAACACCTGAAGCGTCTGCCTCTGTTGCTGGGCACCTGGCTGGTGATCAGCTCGTGCTGCCAGGTGTCTGGTCAGGTGAATTCCCAGGTGGATCAGGGACTTTCCCAGGTGCTGTTCCTGTCCTGCCCGGGACCTCCCCCTCTCCTCCTCCCTTCCCTTCCCCCTCGCTCTCTCTCATGGAGCCATCAGGATGGGCTGTTGACAACTTCAGATCCCTGCTGGAGCAAGCACTGAAAGCACCAGGTGGTGACAGCATTTGAACCAGGATTTTCCTGTTCCCCATTCTCTCCGCCTCCTCCTCCTCCGCCTCCTTTCCTCCGCCCTTCCCATCCCCTTCACTCTCTCTCAAGGAGCCATCGGGATGGGCAGTTGACAACTTCATATCGTTGCTGGAGCAAGCTTTAAGAGCACCAGGTGCGGACAGCACTTCAAGCACGCTTACCTGCGCCAGCCGTTTCTTCTCTCTCTCATGGAGCCATCAGGATGGGCTGTTGACCACTTCAGGCCCCTGCTGGAGCAAGCACTCAGATCACCGGGTGGTGCTGCTGACACTTACGGTAAGAGCGCCAGCCAGGTACTGACACTTACAGAGCTGGGTGCTGACAGGTGTGCCAGGTACCCAAGATTTTGGTCGCGGAGTGTACCTGGGCGGTCTTGGTCACTGGTCAATTCACCAGACAAACCTAGTTTTGAGTCGACGCAGAACAACACCCCAGGTACCCGATCGATATCTTGGTCGCAGAGTGTACCTGGGCTGGGCTGTCTTGGTAGCTGGTCATACAAATCTGCTCATACGGTAAGAAGGCAGTGCATGGATTTCCGTTTCCAACACGTCTATCCTTATTCAGCTGTATGAAACTACCTTATTTGTGATTCTTGTTCATTGGAGAGCAGAGCAGTATTTGGCTGGATCGTGTACGGTATATTTCATAACCCTCGGGATAAATGACTGCCCCCGATAAAAGACTCCTGGATAGCTTGTGTTGTGGGAATGATGATTTGCTTATTTTGGCAGGTTTTTTGTTTTACCCCAGCTTTGAGGGCTCCCCGCCCTTACAAAGGCCTAAATATTTAACATCCATGTAATTTAGAAAGCTTGCTTTCTTATACTGATCATTTGGCATCGTTCTCATTGCAACTGGCAAATTACAACATGCACCTCGAGCTGGACAATATAGATGCTAGTACATGACCTGATTCCACCTACCATAGTATTGTACTACCGTATTACCCCGGACATACCACCCTGGGGTGCTATGATAACTACACAAAAAAAAGGGGGGGGGGTCTTGTAATCGGAAAAAGCTACATTGCACCCGGGTCGTTACATGTATATTTTTTTTTAAGCACAAAAGGTTGAGAACAAAATGTACATGTTTGACGCGGTGGTAGATTGTTGGCTGGGTGCGCAAAACCGAGGACTGGGCGATAACGTTAGTCTCGTGGGTTAGCTGCCACATTGCAAGCTCCAACAAGGCCCACAGTCAGGCCCTGATTGGAAAGAAAACACACCCCCCAGGGCTGACGTTTCATTTCGGGCCCCCCTGATTTCGGGAAAAAAAATCTCCCTGGATTATGAGGGCACATATTTCGTAGGTTTGCTGCTCTGATTGGTCAGTGTCCAACAACGACTTACTCTGAGTTGTCAGGGTTCAGAGCAAGAATTCAGTGTTGCAGCCAATCACAAAAATTTCTCCCATTTCCCTCCCACGTCTCACTTCCCTGGACGGTCGAAATCAAACAGAACACACAACCAAGCTGGCAGTCGTGATTTTACTGTACTGAAGTCACACAAACTGTTGGGTCAGATCACGGTTCTTCTGAAGTCCGCCTGCCATAAAATCTGGACAAGTGTACGCGAAAGTACACGTCAGTGTGACTTGGCACCACACAGCCACGAATATCGCCCACAATGTGCCACCCAAAGTACAGTGCACGTTCGCCGTCAACCACAGTGTATATTTGCAAAAACTGCAATATTACCCGTACATAACACCCACCCCCCCGGGTGCTATATCGGATCGCCCCAAAAGGGGGGTATAGTTGTCAGAACATATCTATAGCTTATACTATTGTGTAGGCTGTAGTGGGGTATCCCATAGGGGGTACAACCCAGCTAGGGTTTCCTATTTGTACTGACTTCATTCATAGTTCATTCATTCTCGTTCTATTCTCAACATGGTATCGAGCAGGTTCCCCCGCGGGAACTGTGCTTAGGGCCCACCACCTTCAAAACTTTTTTTTCTGCCCGGAGCGCGCTCCGGGCCCTAGCTCTCTCTTTTTTGGCCTGCCCTGCGGCCCCCTAGACGCCCGCACGAGCCGCCCTTTGCCGCCCGCGCACCGCCCGTCTCGGCACCTAGCCGCCCGCGCCCGCCCGTTCAGGCACCTAGCCGCCCGCGCGCCGCCTGTCCCGGCCCTTAGCCGCCCACGCGCCGCCCGTCAGGGCTCTTAGCCGCTCGCGTGCCGCCCGTTCAGGCCCCTAGCCGCCAGCGCGCCCGCCCGTTCAGGCCCCTAGCCGCCAGCGCGCCCGCCCGTTCAGGCCCCTAGCCGCCAGCGCGCCGCCCTTTCAGGCCCCTAGCCGCCAGCGCGCCCGCCCGTTCAGGCCCCTAGCCGCCAGCGCGCTGCCCGTTCAGGCCCCTAGCCGCCCGCGCGCCGCCCGTCAGGGCTCCTAGCCGCTCGCGCGCCGCCCGTTCAGGCCCCTAGCCAAGCATGCGCCGCCCGTTCAGGCCCACAGCCGCCCGCGCGCCGCCTGTTCAGGCCCACAGCCGCCCGCGCGCCGCCCGTCACGGCCCCTCGCCGCCTGCGCGCCGCCCGTCCCGGCCCCTAGCCACCCACGCGCGCCCGTCCCGGCCCCTAGCCGCCCACGCGAGCCCGTCCCGGCCCTTAGCCGCCCTTGAGCGCCCGTCCCGGCCCCTAGCCACCCACGCGCGCCCGTCCCGGCCCCTAGCCGCCCACGCGAGCCCGTCCCGGCCCCTCACCGCCCGTGCGCCGCCCGATCCGGTCCCGAGCCGCCCTGTGCCGCCCGTCCCGACCGCGCTCTCCCGTCCCTGCTGCACGACGCTGTCCCGGCCCCCACGCCGCCCGCTAGCCGCCGTGCAACCTGAGCCGCCCGAGCCGTCTCCGCAGCTGAGGAGCCGAGCCGCCCGAGCCGCCTGTGCCGCTGACTGCCTGAGCCGCCCGAGCCGCCCGCGCCGCCCGAGCCGCCCGAGCCGCCTGCACCGCCTGAGGAGCCGGGCCGCTGGTCCTGCGAGGCTGCTGTTGCTGCTGAGCCGGTTGAGCTGCTGTGTTGCTATGCTGCTGTGCTACTGCGCTGCCCGACCCGTCCTGTCTAGTGAGACCGTCTACTGCTGTCATGGCTACCCCCAGTGTCCTAGCTTTTGACGCTGAGGGTCGCGCCATCGACTTTGAGGTCTGGGTCGACGACTTGCAGCTGTTCTTGCAGTGCGATAGAGCAGACGGCCTTTCTCTCTTTGACCTCACTTCTGGCGCCTCTCCTGCCCCTGCTGCTGATGCTGATCCCACTGTGCGCTCTCAGTGGGCTACCCGCGATGCTGCTGCACGTCTTGCTGTGCGTCGCCACCTCCCCACCTCTAAGCGCGCACACTTTAGTCAGTACAAGAGTGCTCAGACCTTGTACGACGCTGTAGTTGCGCGCTACTCTTCCCCTGCTACTAATGCACTGAGCCGTCTCATTCTTCCCTACCTCTTTCCTGACCTCTCTGCCTTTCCCACTGTCGCTGACCTCATTACGCACCTCCGCACTAGTGACACTCGCTACCGCGCCGCCCTTCCTGCTGAGTTCTGCGCCAAGAACCCCCCCCCCATGTACATCACTCTCTACTACGTAGTCGCGCGCCTCCCTGACTCTCTTCGCGTAGTTAGGGACCACTTTCTCGCAGTCTGTCCCACCACCCTCACTGTCGACCTCCTCGAGAAGGCCCTCCTCGCGGCGGAGAAGAGCATCGTCGCTGTAGGAGCTTCTCGTGGTGACCCTCGCACCCCCATCTTTGAGGGGTGCTCTCCTTCCCCCCTGCTGCCCTCTGTTGCCTCTGCTGCTGCTGCCGACCTGCTTGGTCTTGAGTCGGTCGGCGCGGCGTCTGCCCCTAGTGGGAGACGCCGCTCTGGCAAGGGCAAGGGGGGCAAGGGCGCGGGTGGAGCTGGAGGGGGCGGTGGAGGTGGCGGTGGAGGCGGCGGAGGGAGTGGGGGTGGCGGCGGGAGTGGAGGAGGGGGTGGTGGTGGTAGTGGTGGCAGCGGCGGCGGAGGCGGCGGTGGTGGCGGCAGCGGTGGTGGTGGCGGCAGCGGTGGCGGTGGAGGCGGTGGAGGAGGCGGAGGAGGAGGCGGTGGTGGTGGAGGGGGTGGAGCTGGTCGGGGTGGTCCCCAGCAGCGGAGCGGCGGTGGTGGTGGTCAGCGCCCGCAGCAGCAGCAGCAGCAGCAGCAGCAGCGTTCGCGGGACATCCCTCCGCCCCAGCAGCTCCGTGAGTGGTACACTCGGCGTCAGAGGGGTGGGGGTGCTGGTCCGTCTGACTACGTCCTTCGTTCCGGCGACCGCGCGGGTAAGCAGTGTGAGGGTGCCCACCCCACCCAGCGCTGCTTTGGCCGCCTGACGGACGCCTGGCGTCAGCAGTTCCCCGGGGCTAGTGAGATTCCCCGCTTGGATGAGCTTCTTAGGGCTGGTGTAGCGATCTTTGATCTTGACTTTGATTCTATCCTTGCTGCTATGTATGCTGTGACTATTAGTGAGGAGGGTGACTGTTACCGGTGTTTCCCGCCCGACCCGGGCATTGGTACTGCTGCGCTAGGTGCTTGTGAGGCTGCTGCTCTAGGTGCCAGTGCGTCTACGCTCTCAGGTACTGGTGAGACTGCGCTCTCAGGTACTGCGTCGCCTTCGTCCTCCCTCACTTTCAGACTTGATTCCGGGGCTTCTCGCTCCTTCTTTCGAGACCGCACCACCCTCACGTCGCTTGGCCGGCCGGTTGCAGTCTCCCTGGCTGACCCCTCTGGGGGTCCTGTCCTCTCTCACTTTTCCACTGTCCTCCCGTGTCCGGCTGCCCCCTCGGGCACCCTGTCTGGTCTGTACCTTCCCTCGTTCTCGACGAACTTGGTGAGTGGTGCGGACCTACAGGATGCGGGGGTTCACCAGTTCACTCCTGCGAGTCAGCGGGTGACCCACTGCACGGACGCACGCACAGGCCGGCACCTGGCCACGTTCTCGCGTCGGCCGGGGTCGAGCCTCTACACCCTGACCATTACGTCTCCTCCT